GCAAGAAGGCTTCCCATTATCCACACTCAGAACTAGCCTAATCGATGGGCTAATTTAGTTTTTCAAAGCCCCATAATCCATATTCACATGCTGTAGATCCAGCTGCCTCCAAAGAGCCCCACCTATGAGTGCATGAGACTCTAGGGTTACACCAAATACAGGCCTTAACACTTGAGGCAAGAGGACTAGAGGATCTCAGGTTTGAGCCCCACCTGTGCAATTTAGTGACCTAGCAAGACGCTGTCTTAAAAACGGGTGGTCAGGGGACACAGTGTGAAGTCTCTGCCCCCCCACATTATTTTTGTTAACTGAATGGTAGATATTTAAAATATATACTTTTAAGCTGATAGATCTGTATCAGTGTGCTAGGACTGCAGTAACAAATTGCTAAAAAACAGACTGCTTGGAATACCAGAAAATTATTGTGCTGTTGTTTTGCTTGTGTTAGCACAATGTCTGTCTCGGCTTCCCTCCTCACATAGCTGCCCTCTCTTTGTGTGGTTTGTGTTACCTCTTCTTGTAAGATACCAGTCATTATATAATTGGGTGCAGTGTAAATCCAGGAGGATTTCCTTTTGCGGCCCTTAACTAACTGCATCTGTAAAAGCCTATTTCCCAATAAGATAATGTTCTGAAGGATGGGGATTTAGCTCAGTGATGCCATGCCTGCCTCCCAAGTACAAGGTCCTGAGTTTGATCCCTGGTTCCGCCAAAAACAAAAAACAACAACAACCAAAAGAACATTATGAAGTTCTAGGTTGACATGAATTTGAATTTTGGTAGGACATTCTTCAACTCTCTGCAGTTATTTACACTTTATAGGTTTTTTGTTGTGGGCCCTTCCTTTCTATCTCTCTCTCTCTTTTTTTTTTTTTTTTTTTGTGGTGTTTTGAGACAGGGTCTCACTATGTAGTTGAGACTGACCTGGAACTCACTGTGTAGCCCAAGCTGGTCTCAGAATTCACAGCAATCCTCACCCTCTCGAGTGCTGGCATTACAGGCGTACACCACCATGCCTGGCTATTTCTCTCTTTTCTATTTTTATTTTAAAAAAATTTTGTTTTTGGTACTGAGGATCGAACTCGGGTCCTTGTGCTTTCAAGGCAGCAGCAGAACCACTGAACTAAATCCCTGGCCCTATTTCTCTCTTTTTTAATACCACCATTTCTAGATAATTTTTAAATTGGTTTGAGAAAATATATTAATAAAATATTTTCATGGTATCTTACCATAAAATTGATATAAGGCAGATTTCAGTAGAATGGATTCATGTTTGATATAGAAAAATAAAATTAAAGAATTAAATTTTAGAATAATTTCTATTAATATGGGGTTCAGTTTATTTTTTAAACTATAAGAGTATAAACTAAGGGTCCTTTAATATATTAAACTTTTTACATTTTTATTAAAATGGTATACACACACACATATACACATAACAATATTAGTATTTATACAGTAATACCATATCATGCCTTCTTGAGGATTACTTTAAAAAAAAAATACCACATTTCACTTGTCATTTTTTGGAAAAGGCACAAGTTTTTGGTCAGACCTGGGAGCAGTGTTGGCTTTGCCACTCACTAGCTGTGCAACTCTGGACAAGTTATTTTGTCTTTCTGTGTCTCAGTTTTCTATAAAATGTCAGTAATAATATCAGCCTTCCAGACTTGGTGAGATAGTACGGGGACAAAGTGCATATGCACACATAATGATTGTGCACAAATAATAACTGGTAAGGTTTAGACTTTATATTACTATAAATATGTAACTAAATTTATAATATAAAAATTGTATTTGTTTTTAAAATCCTTGCTTAATTTAATCCCTCTGTGCTGTTTAGTAACCAAGTAAGTAAATAATCCTGTAGTTGATAAGTAGTAAGTGAAATCACTGTCATGGACAGGTACTGTGTGTATATATGTCTATTGGAAGGCTGTTGAATATTTACCAAAGTTAAGATAGGAAATGGGTTGAACTTTAGAAACCAGAAATCTCATGATTGGTAGTAGTGGTGGTTGCATCGGGTTGTGTAAAATGTATACATGCCTAAAAATGACAGCTATTACTTAGCATTTCCAGTGAGCCTAGATAAAGGCAGTCCACTGAAGCTAAGTGAATAGAAAGCACAAGTCGAAGAGCCAAGATAAATTTGGCTATTCAGGGTAAGTACCTTCAAAGAGGAATAAAATCTGGGCCAGGGATTTGGCTCAGTGGTTCTGCCGCCTGCCTTGTAAGTGTAAGGGTACGAGTTTGATCCCCTGTATCAGAAAACAAACAAACAAAAAAACCCTGAAACTACAATATTTATGCTCTGTACACACACCGCCTTCTCATGCAGAAGTGGACTTGGTGTTTAGTTCTACTCCTGATAAAGGTGGATTTGCTATTATTGTCATCCTCCCCCACTTTGGAATTTTATTAAAACTAAAAAGTGTAAAACTATAAGTAAAATTTGAAAAAAATCACTATAGAATAACTTTTTAGTTTATCATTTTCATGTATTTTCTCTGTAGCTGGAAAACAGAAGCATGCATGTAAATTTTTTGTTTGTAAGACCATTTTCTGTATTCTTCTTGTTTTTTAAAAAAAATATTTATTTTTTTCTGTTTCTTCCTGTTAAGAGTCTGTTATGTTGGGATAACAGTGTATTAAATTCTTCTTTGAAAGGCATTTAGGTTGTTTGCAGTCTTTTAGTCTCTCAAAATACAATGTAATACACCTACTTAGGCATAATTTCTTTTTAATCTTAATTCTGAGGAGCAGGATTACATGGAGAGGGTAGTAAGTATAATATCACCTTCAGTGTTCACTTAGGGGTCTTTTGCTTCCCTAAAATGCTCTATTGGTTTACTCAGTCATGAAAAAAAGTTAAATTTATTCCTTGGTATCTCTGTGAAGGGAGGGAGAGGGAGAGAGAATATTAATTAGCAAACTGATTTTCTATTAAACAGAGCGATAAAACTAATCGTTTTCTTTGCCTCTTTGGTTGGTTCTTAATGGTTTGTGTATATATATAAATTTGAATGACAACAGTTATTATCAAGGCACTTTTAGTATGCTCAGATTTTGTTTTTGTGTTTTTTTTTTTTTTTAAACAGGGTCTCACCATGTAGTCCAGGATGGTCTTGAACTCACTGTGTAGCTCAGGCTGGCCTTGAACTTGTGGTGATCTTCCTGCCTCAGTTCCCTAGTGTTAGGATTACAGGTGCGCTCCACCATGCTGGGCTTTTACACTGTCCTCAGTTTTGACTGTAGTTGTACTTTTGAGATCTCCTACATTGTTTTGAAAGTGAATAAATTATACTGCTATATTTTCTTCTAATTATTTTATAATTTGATAAAATGTTCAAATATTAAAAAAAGCTTTGTAGTGTACCTTGGTTATTGATTTTTTATTTTTGGGGGGGGCTTCTATTATTTTTCAGGGGAGTTAACATTTTTCTCATTATTCCAGAATTGAATTAACTCTAAGTCTCAGTTCTGTGGCTTTTACATTCCCTCTTATTCTTGGTATCTGTTCAATAAATTTTTCTCACAGTATTGCCATATCTTGTTGCTTTCTAAATGATTTTTTTCTATAAAATTCCTCTTGTTCTACTCTTCCTTCATAATTCCTGTATTCTCTGATCCCTCAGAAAATAGTTAATATTTTTTCCTGAAATATTCATATACATCTTGGGTGAATTTAATGTCTTTTTAAATTTAAATGTTTGTATTTTTAATTTTTTGCCCTTTGGTTTTCTTACCTTACCAATTATTATGTATAGTAATTACTAATTATTATTATATAATCCCAACAAACTGTATTTTATTTCTTATAAAACTTTAAACTTGTTTCTCTGATTAATAAATTACCTTAGTTTTTCATTTTAGTTTTCATCAAATCTAAGGCTAAATTTCCCACATCTGTTAGTGCCTTTATAAAAATCTCTCTGAATACAATATTGCATACTTTTACACCTGTCAAATAGATAACACCCCCCACCCCATCCTCAGGGAGTAACTATTTTGGATCCTCTATTGCTTTCCTATCTGGGCGTGTTGTCTTGTAGACTTTCTAAACATCTTTCATCTGTTCTTTTCTTTGATCATCTTGATAATTCTGTTTTTCATCCATATTGGATCCCTTTACTACAGCCCATGTCATTTTTCTTGGTGTTCTTAATTTTGATGGGATATATATTCTCCAGTAGATTCTTGAGAATGAGTGCACAAATGTAAACATTTTGGAGACTTTGCCTCCATAACAGTATCTAAATTCTATGACCATTTGTGTCTGGGTGGGCACAGCATTCAAATTAGAAAGATAAAATATTCTGTGTTTTTGTTTGTTTGTTTGTTTTTCATTTTTTGTACAGTGCCAGGGCCTTGTGCATGGTAGGCAAGCATTCTATCATGGAATTACATGCCTCACTAGAGACCATGTTTCCATGGAAGTAAAATTGAAAAGAAGGTACAAAGGATTATCATTGCTAGAAGAATTGTGTCTGTGGCATGAGGGAGTTTTTTTTTGGTGAGAATGACGAAACTTCTGTAGCTTATTAATTTCTATGTGTTAAAATTCATACAACCAGAAGATAAGTTTATGTGTGATAGTTTGAAAAATAAAAGAATTTAACAGTGGAGTAAAGCATACAGCAAAAATGTTTTTTCTTTCTCTCTTTAGCTTTCTTGCTTTCCTTGAAGAAACCACTGTTACCAGTTCCTTATTTATTCTACTGAATCACTGTTTTGTTGACTTTTTTTTTTTGATACCTGGGATCGAGCTCGGGTCCTTGTGCTTGCGAGGCAGGCACCGGAACCACTGAGCTAAATCCCCGGCCCTCTGAATCACTGTTAAACATCTAAATCTTTGGGAATAAAATTAGGCAGAAGGAGAGAAAAAAACTTAAACCTGCCTATTTTCTGACAATGCTAAATCTACTATTCTTAGAATACATCTAAATATATTATGCATCAATTCTGGTACTAATTTATTAAAATTATTTTTCCTGCAGTTGGCAAACATGAACTGACTGGGCATAAAGTTGCTGTGAAGATACTCAATCGACAGAAGATTCGAAGCCTTGATGTGGTAGGAAAAATTCGCAGAGAAATTCAGAACCTCAAGCTTTTCAGGCATCCACATATAATTAAACTGTAAGCTCTGTTCATATTAAATATGTTCTAGGTATCTTTTTATCATTTTTGGTTATCTAATCTGACAAGTGTGAAAGGTGACTGATGATTCTTCCTGTTTCCTAAAGGTTTCTTCCTGTTTGTATATTTATCTAACACTGTTAGATGTGCCTATCTTCCTCTCCATATGCTTATCTTCTGTTCTCATATTTATCTAGCATTGTCAGATATGCCAATTTTCATATCTTAACCTTGTGCATATTATCATTATCCTTCTCATTCTGTCCTGTCTTTTGGACAGATGCCCTTCTGATGGATAATGTTCAGTGCTTTTATTCTTGTAGAACGAGCAATTGATTTGCTAGCAAAACTTCTATACTTCCCTATTTCTACATGTTGTCAATTAGCCTCACTACAGAATGCCCTTGAAAATGTTTCCCCATACTGCTTATATCTGATCATACAAATAAAATTTCAGGAATTGATATTTTAATAGGGCTGTAATGTTACTGTTTTACAGTTGCCAGGGTTTACACATAACTTATTTATCGCTTAGCTGTTGCTTTATTATGCAGACTACAATTTAAAGCTGCTTAGACTTTTCTGTTGCACTGGCTGACCGATTGTTTCATCCTCACCTCTTCTCTTTTGGTAAAGTGATTTTAAGTACCATATGCTGATGACCTCCAAATGTCTATTTCCTGTTTTGAAACCTCTTCTCTGAACCCTGGACTCCTATGGCTACTGCTTACTTTCCATCTCCATTTAGATGTCCAGGAGACACTTCAGACTCCACGGAGTCAAATCCGAACTTTTTATTGCTATCCTCGTCCCAGTCTCTACCATCAGTTAATAGTTGCTTAAGAACAGAAACTGAGAAATTGTTCTTAGCTTCCTTATTTCTCTTGCTTCCCACCATCCATTTCATTTCTTCTTTCAAACATATACCTGACCCCTTTCTCAGTCTTTGTCACCATCAGGTGGATCTGAGCCACTTTCTCTTAAGAACTACTGCAGTAGCCTCCTGCTGCCACCTTTATCATTCACAGTTGGTTCTTCACATGGCCATCACCTACCCTTTTAATACACCAGACTAATTAAAACCATCACTAGCTTTCATCTTCCTTCAAGTAAGAGCCAGAGTCTCTTTATGTCTTGTAAAGTTCTGATTCTTTTGGCCTCCAGTTAAACCTGTGACTCTCCATCCTATTTCTTTCCCAGCTGACTCTGCTTTAACTTTCTTATATTCCTTCAACCTGCCAAGCAGGCTTCCACCCGGGGCTTTTGTTCTTTCTGTTGCCTCTCCCTTGTTCTCCTCTCTTCCAAATAATGGCATAGTTTGCTTCATTACTTCCTTTAGATTCTGCTAAAATATTACCTTATTAGAAGCTTTCCTTGGTGACACTGTACAAAAGATACTCCTTTATGTCTCTTCGTAGCATGTTCTGCCACTTGAGATACTGCTTATTTTGTTTCCTGGCTCCTAGAACATGGACCATGAAAACAGAGAATTTGTTTTGTTTCCTGCAGTTTTCCTAGCTGCTAGCACAGTACCTGGTAAATTGTAGGTGCTGAGTTAATATTTACTGAATGAATGAATATACGTGTTTTAATATTAGTAGATAATGTTTTCTCTCACCAGGTACCAGGTCATCAGTACACCATCTGATATTTTCATGGTGATGGAATATGTCTCAGGAGGAGAGCTATTTGATTATATCTGTAAAAATGGAAGGGTAAGCAGTTTTAATTTAATCCTGTATATATTTTGTAACTCTCCTTATGCCCTACTACATCACAATGCCAGAAAGCAATTTTAAGAGGCTTATTTAGTAACCAGTTTCTTTTCATATACAGTAAGTGCCCAATTTAAGAACATTTGAGTTGTGAACTTTCACAGGTGTACTGTATATGACTAACTTTGTTGGCTTACAGAGAAATCCAATTTATGAACAGTTCTGGAACAGAACTCATTTGTCAGTCAGGGAATTTACTGTATTTGTTTAGAATCATGGCTGAAAGGACTTTAAAGGTGATCTCCTTAGTCTGCTAACGCCTGTGGGTACTGATCCTTACAGTATCTATATTTGCTCAAGGTCACATGATTTGTCATTGACAAGTGACCTCAGAACTCATAATCATCAGATTTGCACCAAATACTTTTAATGTATATGAAATATATAATTAGTCCTTATAAAATACGCAATTAAGCCATTAAAAATCTGGGCCTTAGTAGTCACATCTGGCCACATTTAAATTACATTCTTTTTTTGGTTTCAAAGATCTCATGTACCTGGAGTAGTAGAAACCGGCTTCATGAAGGAGGTAGGAATTAGCTTTAAAGAATTTAGAGCTGGAAAGAATGTGAGAAAATATTTGCAATGGTACCTTACATCATAGATACAAAAGCTGAATATTGCCTCCTGCCCTCATTTTTTCTCATACTCAGGTTATCTGGTATGTAAAAGCCCCATTTTGAAAAAGCCAGGTCCACACAGACAAAACAAATTTTTGCATTTCTAACCTAAAGTTACTTATGTCATTCATTCATTCTTTGTAGCAGATCTGCTTCATCAAAATCAAACTCATTACCCAAGTTAATTTTTATTTTACTGTTTCTTAACATGATTAAGGTATTTTAGGTACTTTTCTCACCCCCCCCACAGTATCCAACTCCCCTCAAAACAAAGCTCTGCCTAGAAAAGTGGAAACAGGAACAAATCGAATTGGCATCTTTTAAAAAACATTTTTCTTCTATTTTTTATTTCTTGGTTATTGTTTTATATTGTGGAAATGCTACTTTTTGAATACTAAAGTTTCAGTTGTCATATTTTATGTATCAGATGTCTTTTTTGTTTTTGAAGTTTAAGAAGGTCTGGGGCAGAGTGTGGTGGCACATTCCTGTAATCCTAGAACTCAGAAGGTTGAGGCATGAAGATTATGAGTTTTAGGTCAGCTTAGGCTATATAACAAGTTCAGGCCAGCCTGGACCAGTAGCAAGATTCAGACTCAAAACAACAAAAAAACAAACAAAAACAGACCCCCCCCCAATATCAACACAAAAACTCAACGTGCTAGTTTTTGCTCCATAGATATAACCTTATCTGTTTTTGTTTGTTTTTTGGTACCGGGGATTGAACTCGGGTCTTTGTGCTTGTGAGGCAGGCGGCAGAACCACTGAGCTAAATCCCCAGCCCTAACCATATGTGTTTGAGGATGAGTTTTGTTTGTTTTTTTTAAATTGTCTTTGTTTGCTGCTTTTCTGTTTTTGTTCCTTTGCTTTTATTCAATTTTTTTGATTGTTTTACACGTTCCTCTCTTTTGCTCATAGTCCTTGCTCAGATATTTTGTTTTTTGGTTTTCCACTTACTGTACATTTAAGAGTAAAGTAATAAATTCGAAGCTCATACAGGTGGAACTTACCAATTGGTGAACATTCCCCCTAGGACCTGTCCATTTTGTTGGGGTACATTATATGTCATTGGTAACAAGTGTTTTTTCTTGGATTTGATATGTGCTACAGAAGAAACTTGAACTTTTCTAGAAGGCATTAGTTTAGGTGTCAATGCTACAGGAGCTGAGTGGGGAAAAAGGCTGCAAATCTCACTTGTTAGTATGTTGACTTCACTTAACCCACATATTTTCCTCACAATGTCTCATCTCTGTCTTGGTGTCCTTGAGAATACAGCTGGTTGAGCCTTACCAGAATAAACTATAAATTTTATTCCCCAGTAGGGGTGAATTTCAAAGCTTCTTACTTCAACCAGCAGACCTGTTTTCAGTTACCTATCACTTCTGCTTTGTGGAGTGGCTGATGCTTCCAATTTCTAAGCCTTTCCAGGGTTCTCTGTGCCAATGAGTTCATTTCTTATTGGTTCCATTTACAGTCTCCCCCTCCCCCCATAGGCTTAGGTTTCACTTTTTCTTGTTGGCCAAGTCTTTATCACTATTCCTCCACTCTTCAGCGTGGTAACTCCTCTTGATGACTGCTGTCTCTTGTTTTTGTCATTATATCATAATATGACTCTTTTATTGCCAATGTCATTTTAGTGATACTTAAAGGATACAGTCTGCAGTGTTTAACTGGGAATATGCTTTGACTTTTCTAATCTTTTTTTATACATATATCTTCCATCCTATGTACCGTACCCTTATGAATGTTATTTTTCATTTTTGCAGCCTACCTAGTTATTTTACTGCTTATATTTTGTTCAACTAAATTTTTACTACTCTTTCCTATTTTGAGCAGGTATTCTTTTCCTCCCATAAACTCCATTTGAAGAACTAAAGGTATTAGATTGCTAAAATATTAGCGCTTTTTTTTTTTTTTTGTAGAGGAAGGGTCTTTCATAACAGTTCAGTAGTAGTTATACTTTTGTTTTAAAAGAAATTACTAGTTTTTCTGTTGTCCCAGATTATTTACGCCATTCAAGGTGAGGGATTCTGGTTTTGGAATGCTAATTTGGGACCTATCAGAGAATTGAGAGTTCTTTGCTTGGATGACTAATATCTTATGATTTCTTGGGAGCAAGCATGTACACATAATCATGTATGTTGAGAAAAGAACTGAAAATATGGATAGAAAAGTTTTTAAAGACTTATTTCTTTCCCCCTTGTACGGGATTGAACTCAGGACCTTGTGCTTGCCAGGCAGGCACGGCACCACTGAGCTGAGACTATTTTTAAAGAGAGAATTACAAGATAAGTTTCTTACTAAGCATAATAAATTATTTTATATTTTATAAGATGAATTAGGGCTTTCATTTTGTTTAAACATCTTTTATCTTAAGACATAATATCCTTGCTTGCTAATTAATTAACACTGCTTAAAGGTTATATCCTCAGTAGTCTAAAATAGTGTCCGTCATCCCAACATCACTTTCCCATTCTCTTCATTTTCCTTCAAAGCACTCACTCCTAATGTTACATTTATTACTTTCATTGCCTTATTTTTTTTCACTAGATTAGAGTCTTTGTTGTATTCAGTGGTATATCATGAATGTCTAAAATTATAGCAAGATGTTCAATAAATATTAAAATAATGGAGAACTAAACATTTCTAATATTTAGGAGAAAACATGCTTATTGTCACATAGAAACGAATTATTGGAAATAGCTTATGATATGTAGACAGTGGCAAACTGTTAAATGTAGTCAGATGAAAGTGCAGAGTTGGATTCAAAATCCTACCATTTCTACTTTGCTCTTTGTATCTTGCCTCATTTTAGAAGTATCATGAATGAAATTCACTGGAAGCTTTCTTAGATTTCAAGTTTATAGTTTGGAGAATTATATGTACAATTGATTTTGAAAGACACACCTGTAAGATGCCTCTCTACTTTTCTTAGCTGGATGAAAAAGAAAGTCGACGTCTATTCCAACAAATCCTTTCTGGTGTGGATTACTGTCACAGGCATATGGTGGTCCACAGAGATTTGAAACCTGAAAATGTCCTGCTTGATGCACACATGAATGCCAAGATAGCTGATTTTGGTAAGAACATTTTATGGTTCATCTGTTCATATGTCTAATGAACATAAATATCATTCTTCAGGTAATTCTTATGTAATAGACCAAGTATCCCATTTTCTCATTGAGCATATGAAAAGGAGAAAAACGAAGGTATTCTCTTTTCTTAGCCTTCTGTCTTTAAAATTTAGTTTTATGGTAGTAGAAAATTTAAGTTGGCAGCATTAGAGATATCATTTGAAAAGAGACTGTTCTTTTTGAAGGAGAAGGCAGCAACCTATTTCCATTGTATTCTTTTGATCAATATGAAGAAAAAAGAAAGTGTATAGGATGGAATTATTTAAAATTTGAAAGCCAGAAGGTGAATTTGAACAAAAAGTTTAAAAATTAAAATACTTTAAGTGATAGGATATCTAATTTCAACTTCCATTTGAGAACATGTGAGTGTTAAAAATGAATTTTTTTTTCCTTATTTCCCATATAAATTGACATTATTAAACCTAAAAGAAAAATGAATCTCTGAAACTCTTCTTTTGGTTGCTTTAGTTCAAATCAGAGGATATTTCATAAATATTATATTCAGATATATTATATTACTTTAAATTCTAAAGACTTTTGGAATAGTCCCAAACAATCCTGAACTTCTGGGTAGGAGCTTTGTGCCTGTGTGTGTTTTGTTTTTTCTTTTTTGAGACAAGGTCTCTATGTAATTCAGGCTGGCCTTGGACTCACTATATTGACCATGTGGGCATTAAACTTGTGGTGGTCTTCTTGCCTCGGCCTCCCAAGTGCTGGATTACAGATGTGCACCACCTTGCCTGGCTCCTTTTCTATTTTTGAACTAAATTATTTGATTTCTTTATTCCTCAGTTATTGTAATTATCCTTTTTTCCCTCCTTCCTTCTACTGGGGATTGAACTGACAGTTTTCACACTGATCTACATCCCCAGCCCTTTTTGTGTTGTGACAGGGTCTCACTACATTGCTGAAAAATAAGATTCTACTACCTCAGCCTTCCACACTGTTGAGATTAAAAGTGAGTGCCACCACACCAGGCTCTTGATTATCTTGATTAGAGTGCATTTCTGTAGGAACTGATGTTTCTTTTTTTTTGAGACAGGGCCTCACTATGTAGTTGAGACTGACCTGGAACTCACTGTGTAGCCCAGGCTGGTCTCGAACTCACAGCGATCCTCCTGCCTCAGCCTCCTGAGTGCTGGGATTAAAGGCGTGAGCCACCACGCCCAGCTCTGATGTTTCTTTTTGGAGTAAAACTATGAGGGAACTTTCAGATTCAAAATTGCTGCTTTTTAAAAAAAATTTTGCTTTGAAAGAATCAGAAAATTAGTGCTTTTTAAAAATTTTGTTTTGAAATAATCAGAACAGGGTTAATAGAAACTGACTTTTAATCCTCCTACATGAGATTATTTTCCCTGGCAGTCTCTATCTGAATGAAACTTAAACACAAGCTGGACATGGGTGCATGTGCCTATAATTTTAGAATCCTGGAGGTTGAAGCAGGAGGCTTATGAATTCAAGGTCAGCCTGGGCTACATAGAAACCTCCTGTCTCAAAAAAAGAACAACAAACATAAATATGCAAAGTTTATTCTGGTAATCAAAAGAACCAATAGTTTAATATATATTCAACTCTAGCAACACACTAACTTTAACTGTTGAAATTACATTTTAGGGCCTAGATAAAGACTGGTTTTGTTGAAACAAAGAACAGAATGATGATTTATCACTTCAATGCAAATTGTTTTATTGTTTGATGGGGCTTCATTTCTATATTTGTCTTTGGGAAATCTTTGAGTAGCTGTTTTTGTGCACTTTCAGGTCTTTCAAACATGATGTCAGATGGTGAATTTTTAAGAACAAGTTGTGGCTCACCCAACTATGCTGCACCAGAAGTAATTTCAGGAAGGTAGTATTTGACACCTGCCACCCCCAATATGTTTGTGATTGTGTTAATCTATAGTGTTACATTCTTTTTTTTTGGTTTTTTGAGACAGGGTCTCACTATGTAGTTGAGACTTACCTGGAACTCACTATGTAGTCCAGGCTGGTCTCGAACTCATAGTGATCCTCCTGCCTCAGCCTCCCAAGTGCTGGGATTAGAGGCATGAGCCACCACACCTGACCTAGTGTTGTATTCTAGTGGAAATAAAAAAAGTCACAAAAGGCTTATTCTTTTCTGGACATATTGTTTTTAAAGAATAAAACATTGCAAGTCAAGGATTCTATAGAGTAGAATGTTAGTCTGCAACACAACATTAGAAGAGAGTACTTCAGTTTTTCCCCTGGTGGCAAAGCTAGTGAGTTTTAAGGGTAAGTAGGTAGGCTGGGTGTGGTGGCACACACCTGTTTTCACTGAGGAAGTTGAGGCAGGGGGATTTCCTCAAGTTTGAGGCCAGCTTGGGTTTCACAGTAAGTTCAAGGCCAGCCTGAACCACAGAGCAAGACACTGTCTCCAAAAACCCAGAAAAACCTAAATAAATAAATAAATAAATGAATAAATGTAGGTAAGACACTAAAAACTTGAATCTACGTACATGAATAATGAAGTATAATGTGTAGTTTTAATTTTTCAAACAGATGGCATTTTGTAGTAGCAATTTGTGACTTAGTAACATCCTATCCCAAAAAACAAAAGGCTGGGGATATAGCTCAGTGTGAAGACCCTGAGTTCAATCCTTAGTACTGAAAAAAATGTTTTTCCATTAGCCATTTAGCATGATATACTCTCTTAAACTCCTTTTATCTGGGTACTGGGTTCTTAAGTTACTGTGGGAGAAATGGATTTAGGGTCTGTCACTAAAGAATTTAATTTCTCCTTTGTAACCAAAAAAAAGGTTAAAAATTTAATAGTGATCTTTGTTCGAGGTTTGGCACTATTAGTAATGTCCTTAAGTATAGTGGACCCTTGACTTCCAAACTCAATTCATTTATGAAGGCTGGTTGTGACTCAAGTTGGTCAAGTGAAGACTCAGACTCTTCTACACAGGCAGATCTCGGTGTCTTTACAGAGACATTGGCCCAGGATTTCTCAATGAACCCCATACAGGAAAGGGTGTCGTAATGTTTCTTCCAGAACTCTTTAAGTTCTGTATCTGAGACCATCTGAAGCACAAGAGGCTAGCACCTATAACTCAAGACTTTGGTTGTAAATTAAAAATAAAATTCTAGTCATAACCCAAGATGTCATATGCCAGGCTAGTTGTAACTTGGGGGTCCACTGTATTATGGCAAGGTAGTAAGAACAGAATTGTAGCCATGGTATATAATATACAAAATGTATTTATTTTTGTTTTAAAAAAATACTGATATTAAAATCTTTATGTGTATCATGCAACAGTGGCAGTAAAAACCATATTCTGAGTACTAATTCTTTATGAAATATCCATATTTGAAATTTTTGATTGAATCATTGAGTCTGATATTATTGGTTGTTTCATGAGATTGGTATTTCCTGTTACAGATTGTATGCAGGCCCAGAGGTAGATATATGGAGCAGTGGGGTTATTCTCTATGCTTTATTATGTGGAACCCTTCCATTTGATGATGATCATGTGCCAACTCTTTTTAAGAAGATATGTGATGGGATTTTTTATACCCCTCAGTATTTAAATCCTTCTGTGATTAGCCTTCTGAAACATATGCTGCAGGTGGATCCTATGAAGAGGGCCACAATAAAAGATATCAGGTAATAAACCAATTGGAAATTATCAGATATTCTAATAGTACTTGTCATATAGGTTAAGTGACAAAAAAGTTGTAGAACAGAATATACAGTGTAATCCTATTTTTGGCTGGAAAAAAATACAGTACAGAAATACATTTACTTGTTTTACTTTGGTATTAAAATGCACTGAACCGATTACTTATGGAAGTAAGATTGGTAGGAGGGAGGCCTTTTAGTTATGTAGCTTTGTTTTGAAATTCTTATAATGACCATTATATTACTTTATTTGTTGTCATTTATTTGTTGCAGTACTGGGGATTTGAACCTAGGGCCTCAAACACGCTAGGTAAGCATTCTGTCACTGGGCTCCATTTTTAACCACTAAATTTAAAATTGCTATTGATGGGTTGTGGGTGTACCTCAGTGGTCGGATGCTACCTGGCATTTGCAGGGTCCTGGGTTTCATACATAGGACTGCAAAAAATAAGCCAAAAATACTTAAAAAGCTAATAAAAAATAAAAAGGATCCTGGTAGGATGTTATCTTGGTTACTTTCTTGTTACTGAGACACAATACCTGACACCCACAAGCTAAAGGAGGAAAGGTATATTTTAGCGCACAATCTGTAGAGGTTTCAGTCCATAGTTTTCTGGCTCCAAGGCAGGGTGCCATGGTGGAGGGGCATCACAGAGGACAATCCATAGGATGGCAAGCAGGAAAGTAGCAAGTAGCAAACCTGTCTTCTTTCTGTCCCTTTATATTCTACCCAGGCTACAAATTTATTGATTGATACCATCCATACCAACTGTAGAGTCCAAACCCAGAGCTATGCTAAACCAGTTTAATTTAGTTATCACATATCCTTAATCTATATTCACCCACCCTAATCCAGCTTTATCCTAGATAAAGCCCCACTTTGGAGCATGAGGCTTTGGTGGGACGTCTAAATAGGAGACATAACAGATGTTAATACAATTTTATAGTGGATCTTCAGGGTTTTCTTTTGTATGCTTCAGATTTAATTTTAATGCAGTCTCATTAGGATAAGTACTTTTTTAGTAGTAAATTTCTGATGCTATTCAAATTCTCATGAATTGTTTTTTTTTTTTTTCTTAACCTCATGGAATGAGAAAATTTTAACAACATGCTTCTTTTAGTATATCTGAATCACATGAAATGGCTGTTTTGTAGGTAAATGTTGCATTTCATATTTTTCAATCTAATAGTTTATGTAAGGCAGAAGTGATGATGATACATCACTTCTTTTTGTATTTTTCTGGTATTGGGGATCGAACTCAGGACCTTGCACTTGCAAGTAGGCACACTGCCACTGAACTAAATCCCAGCTTAACATATGCACTTGTTAAATGCATATCTGATGAAGACTTAAAAATATTCACTGAAAATCTTTCCTACTATCATCCCTTCCCCACTTTTAGAAATTCTCATTTGGTCTTCTAATGGCTAGGTCACAAGTTTCTCTGGAATGGAGGGAAAAGGAAGAAAAATCATATGGATACAGGAATAGTAAATAATTAGTGTAATCAAGAAGGGACGATTTTATGTGGAATTTAAAGCTTGATTCCTTTCTACTTACTCTGTATGGTAAAAGATTAGCTAAGAAAGAGACTACGAATGTCAGGGCATGATTTTATTACTAGAGGAAAAAGACAAATCATTCTTTAAAATGTATATTGTAAAATATTTGAGAAATGTACTTGCTTGTCATTGACATTTTTTTCAAATTAAAATTTAATATATGACAACTGGAAAAGACTTAGAAAAATATCAACAAGAGAAAGTAATTATTGTTCTTTTGGGTTTCCTCTTTTTTTTTTTTTTTTTTTT